CTTACAAATCACTTAAGGGTTTGAACCCACTCAACCTATTATCTACAAAACAAATATGTTTGTATATCAAGAGACTCTTAATCTTATAAACAAAAACCTCCGACGGTTATGATATTGTTGTAATATGTACTGTGCAATCATATTAATTCGTGGGGGTAAATGTTCATTGGTAATCAAAAAATTTACTGCTTCTTTGGGATGTAATTCTGTGGGTAACTCATATACGGGTCATATGTTGACACAGTTATCATTCGTTAATTCTTTGGCAGGGATAATCCACGAAATCCTCAATCATTTCTAGTAACACAGAATTACATAATGTGTATCGCTAACAACACATTTTTCAATGATAATGTGCTTTAGTTTCATTAAAGAATTGAATTCAATTGAAAATAAAGTATCAGTATGATATGTTTAATATTTAAAAGACTGATTTTAAATATATATGTTTCAGGTGAATGATTTCTACATAATTTACAAATCTCTCATTTCCATAGAGAAAGAAATTGAGCCTGCAAGATTTCTTGTCTGATCAAAAAGTAAGATTGATGGATTGATTGTTTGTTGTTTTACTTCCCGTTCTAGAATTTTTCACTCATAAGAGACGTCACCATATACGGGTGAAGGGTTTCACATTTAGACTTTTACTCGGCACTCAGGGTCATTAAGCAGTGAGGGATCTTTATTGTGCAAACCGTGCCGTGACACGCGACCTCGGTTTTTTAGGTCTCATCCGAAAGACCTGCAACTTTCACTTCAAAGTACTGAGAGCTAGGCTAAGGAACAGTTTCTACCTATTTTTTTTCTATCGACTTAGGTCAGCCTCGGCTGGGATTGGAACCCAGACAATAATCTTACACAATCATGAATTTTAACCCTGTTTTGCTCATTAAAAATATTCAAATATTAACATGTCCATGTAATTACAATTGAAGACTGTTTTCAGATCTACAGAAAATTGCATGGAGTCTACTTTAATTCCTTTTGAAAATAAAATTAAAGAGCGAAACACAATTAGACTAGAAAGTAGAATTTGTGCAGCAAATCATGAATGTTTTGAACGTTCTACTTCCTATTAAATTTTGTTTATGTAAATTTAAATAGTAGACGCCTTTGCTCCAAAGCTAATCTGTTGATGTTGTTAATTTCATTGTATAGTAAAGGGCAATTGTGTCATAATGAGTATTGGTTATAACATGTCATGTGTACTAAGTATGCATAAAAAAGTGAGTTTAAACCTTTTTTTTATACATGTATATTAGACATACATGTACCTCTATTGTGTTTTAATTAACAAATTTGCAAGAAAATGCCCTTATTTACGCCCTTAACTCACCTGCTTTGTAGATCATCGTATTTGTGATTTCTTGTTTCATATAAATTATATATGGTTTGGACGTTTTTGAAAGTTTTAAAGTTTGCGTAAAAATATACCTTTTTGGTAAAAAAAAACAAACAAAAAACATTGAGCAAAGACCCACTATTCCTAAAAAACACACTTTTATGACACAACATTTGCATCTTCAGAGAAATACTTAAGTCCTTTTAGTCAAGGGTCATCTAACATATGTTGTGTAGCGTAGTGGTCAGCGCTATAGTCTCAAAGGAAAATGGTACTAAGGATTTTTATTGCTAGTGTTCAAATCCAACGAATACCACATAATTTTTTTTTAATAACAGATAATTTTTGCTGAGAAAATTTTCCTCAAAAAAGTTTTTTTTAATAATAATTTTTATAAATTTCAAGAATAAGAATTTACTCTAAATACTAAATTCACAAATTAAATATGATTTTTAAATATGTGAAGCTATAGGTATTCTGCACGCATTCTACACCCATCTCTATTGAGAAATCCATAGGGACCTTTCATTTTCTAGATTTCATAAATATCATCCCCAAAGAAACGTAACATTGAAAATATGTGTTAATTAGAATAAGGTGTAACGTTTTGATATAAATTAAAATCAAGAGGCTCAAGAACCTTAACGATCACCTCAATATAAAACAACACTGAAAAGACTTAGAAGTATAAACTAAAACAACAACACAAAATGAGAGATGAAGCCATGTTGCCAAAAAGCAGGAAAAACGATTAGGGATCATTTTTAATAAAAAATGACAAGTGCTCTGTATCAAATCCTAAAGTAGATCTATTTACTTGCTTTTCTTTGTCATTATAACTTTAAAATATTAAGATAACGAACAGTAATCAAGCTCAAAAGTCAATTAAACAATACGAATTGGGAGCAGAGCAAACACAGAACTCTAAAAATATCACAGATGGGATCAGTATCCAAATAAACAAAAAAGTGCTTGAGCACAATTGGTAAATTCAACTCATCCCCTTACATATTAGCCTCTCTTGGAATTTAAAGATTAAATGTACAAAGATAAAGTATTTCATAGCTATCAATTATAATAGGTGAATAGCAAAGGGGAATAACTTCTCTCAGCAGAATACAAATAAATAAATCACAGCCTAGCACCAGAGCACTTTACGAAGTGGTCCAAAATTTTACAAATCTGGTAAAAATACCTTTACTTATAAGATTCCTGTACTCCTTTTGCCTCCGAGATGCCCAGGAGCAGAGCAGATGGATTTCAAAGGAATAATACATTTTCACTAGATATTCAACAAACCCCGCCCTTAAACCTGATTCCGTGACCTATTATATGTGAGCACTGTTTTTTTTTTTTGTTTTTTTTTTAATTAATACTCAAGAATAAAAAGTTTATTTTCAAAGAAATAATGCAGTTTCACTATATTTTATCAACAGAGTCCCACCCTTACATCAGAATACCTGAGCCAGGGGCCATAACATGAAAGTTTATAGCATGCATCCTTGCTCTTTATCGCAGCACAGTCACATGTAAGGCTAATAAAGGGGGTGGGGCTTACGGGAAATATTTATTATGACATCTCTTATAATAACAATTCTACAATTTACATTTGAAATCTTTGTGGCACTCATTATTCTTAAGACAACAAATGTAGTACGACAGTTTCCACATTATAATTGAGTATACAGGCATTTTTAGGATGGCTCCATTTTGGCTTTTAGAAATGTTTTATTTATCAAATAAATACAGTTTTATGTTTGTTTGTTTGTTTATTTTTTAACATCCCTCTCGAGAATTTTTCACTCATATAGAGACGCTACCACTTGCCGGTGGAGAGCTGCAAATTTTTGACCTATACTCGGCACTGAGGGCCATTGAGCAGTGAGGGATCTTTTTCGTGCCAGCACCTACTGCGACACGGGACCTCGGTTTATATGGTCTCATCCGAAGAACCGGTCTCCTCGTCCAACAGTGGGATTCGAACCCGCTACGTAAGGATCAATTCCTTACTCCGCGACTCTAGAGCGAACGCTCTAACCACTGCGCCACGTGGGCGACTTTTTGTGTTTATAAATCAAGGGAATCGATGACCTAGCATTTTTAAGGATAAATTAACGCATGTGAGTTAAGGCTAGGTATAGGCGTTTCTATGCAAATGAGCTAATAAAAACGCATAAGAGGTATATTTATTATTCAGAGAAAGTGTTGATTTATTTTCTTATGCATACTTAGTACCCAAGATATGTTATAGCCAGTACAAATTATGACGACATATTATGACGTCACTGATCTTTACCTACTGGAGGTAATAAAACACATCAACAAAACAGCTTCGGCGCAAGGGGTTACCCTATTTATTTTTATATAAAAACTGTATATTGCTAAGAAGAATATTCTATAGATTAATAAAACTGCTGCACAAATCCTAGGCATTTTCTCATTTGATCAGAATTTGAGGAAACTTATACTGGACTGTACATTTTTACCCTTATTCAACTTAAAACTTTAAAAATAGAAATTATACAAATGAGCTGTTGATATTTGTGCAGCAATACCAGCAAACTTTGGAATATTTTGCTTCTAAATGTACCTTGTTTCAGTTAAATAAAATAGAGCATGCCCTTGCGCCGAAGCATTTTTGTTGATATCCATTATAATCTTGTGTAGTAAAGAACAATCACGTCATAATATGACGTCATAATGTGTACTGGCTATCTTATGTCGTGGGTACCAAGTATGTATTAGACAATAAGTTTTAACTTTCTCTGTATAATAGATATAGTCCTAATGCATTTTAATTAAATTATTTGCATAGAAAAGCCTTTACCTAGCCTTAACTCACCTGCGAAGCTCTTAAGGCTCGAGTTATATTTTTTTTTTATCTGCGAGCATAATTTGAATAGAGAATATGAAAATATCTTATTACAGGGAAAACAAATCACACAACTTTTGCAAAATCCACTTGTCTTAAAGGCAATTTAAAAATCAGGAATATTTCTCGTGAAATAGATTACATGTTAACTGTAAATACCCACCAAATATCTTCTCACATTCAGTCATCTGAAGCTGTAAAATGGAGGTCTTTATTCTTACAAATGTTGAGCATAGAGGCTGTCATGAAAGCATCTCTGTGACGACAAAAACCCGTTTTGTACGTAAAACGAATTCTATACAAACATATACATATAATTTTATTATACCTCTGTGAATTTTTTCTATATAAAAATATGACAAATAAACCTGCTATTTTTTCTAAACAACCCCTACTGTGGAATAGTTTTTGTGCTATTTGCCCATGGTGAAATAGTCATTAAACTATTCACCGGCAGCATTCCATTTCATTTTTCATCTAAAAACTATCTGTTTGTGGTATTGTGACGTATCCGGTTTATGACGTAACAAAAGTAAAGTCGGTTTCTGTATAATAAAACGCCTATTTACCTACTAAGTTTACCGTCCCCCTTGACAGCAAACTATTTCCCTCGGCTGCGCCTCGGGAAATAGTTGCTGTCTTGGGGACGATAAACTTCCTATTGTCCTCATAGCCAGTAAATAGGTGTATAATATGCCCTTTTTATTTGAACAGTACAAAATAAACAACTTCATGTATTGCAAATCATTCACGGCTTTAAGGTCCATTCTTTAAAAAAAAAATATATATATATATACATATTTACATGTTATTAAAATATAAAATAATTTAGAACATGTAAAATTATAAACAGTTTTATCCTTTTTCATGAATTTAACTTTTTCGACTGCCATTGATATATGATTTGCATCTATCATGCATCATACTTCTAACAAAATAGATACGTTAGTACACAACAGATTCTACTGTCTAAGTTCAGTCATTTATCAAATTAAGTTCATCTACAACTCATCATGCACGGCTTTAGTTCTCCCTTTGTCGAGGACTTTTCTTATTAGGTGTGTGGCGTCTGGTTTAAGGTCTTTACCTTCTGTTATTGGAGTGTCTAGAATTGCGTACTTTTTGGTGATAGTGTCAAAGGAAGGCCACTTCGGAAGATCGTCTGAATGGGGATTCCTTCAAGTTAATAAAAAGAGACGATCTATATATGTGAATTCAGCATTAAAAAAATTTGCTGAAAAAAAAATAAAATGAAAAACTACGTATCAGTGTAAAATATTTTGTCGCATTGCACATCTGATACTAGTACATTCAGAAGACAGAATTCTTTCAGAAATTGGAAGAATTACCTACCCAAACTTGGCAAAGTTGGTCCAATACTTAATAACGTCTTTAGACAACTTCTCTACAGCCGCTAGATCATGTTTTTTAAGTGTCTCTTCCGAAATATCACTATAAGTCATGTTAAACATTAAATGCAATTCTTCGCCATGTCCAGCCTTTTTAAACCAGGGTGCTGGATCTTGAATGAAAGGAAAAGGGGATTGTTTAGTGACTAAGTATTGGAATGTGTTTGCTTTATCATTGTCCTTAGCATGGATTTCTAATATGGTGTTGCTAGGAACGATAAACCATGAATCCCCATAAAAATCGCATACTTTCAAACTTTGTTCTACATCCCCTTCAGAGCTAGTATAAAAATCGCATATTTCTTGTGTCAGTTCCGGAAAATTTCCTGCAACTGTATCAACAAATACTGGTGCAAATACCTCACATAAAATACTTCTAGGGACTCGTTCTGATGAGTTGAATTTGAAATGTTCTTGAATGTCAGGAGCTAAACTGAAATATCCCAAATTCCCTTCTCCGTCTAGAGTCCCCGATATATAATCGATACTACGGAAAAAGCGATAAGCTTCGTCGTCCCACGATTTTGGATAAGCCAAATTTTCTTTGATTAAATCGCCGTCAACAGTTGGTACAAAACTTCCTATCTGAAAGGACGCATTTAAAGGAACTTGAAATTCGTTGAAAAATATCGCCGATGTAATGTTTTCGGCCGGCACTTCTCGCAAACATTTAAGAGTTTCTGTTATTTCTTTACCCTCGCAATTTGTTTTCTCCAAAAGCAAATTACTAAATTTTTTCTCCTTTTCTCTTTGGGAGATAGAATAGAATGAAACTACTCCACTTTGTGAAATAGCTCTTTGAAAAAGACCTTCGTTTGATGGGATCAGTGTCTGGAGGCTCACGCTCATGCCACCTGCTGACTCTCCAAATATAGTAACGGATTCAGGATTTCCTCCAAAGGCTGCAATATTATTCTGGACCCATCGTAAAGCCTCTATCTGATCCCAAAGTCCGTAATTTCCAGGTGCCATGGGATCATGCAAAGTCAAAAATCCAAAAATACCTAATCTATAGTTAATGGTTGCAACGATTACACCACCTCCTAAAACTAGCTTCTGAGGTTTGTACTGACTCCCACCACCAATTATAAATCCCCCGCCATGAATCCATACCATCACAGGTAGGTTTCTTGCTTCTGAAATTTCCCCTGGTACATATATATTTAGATATAAGCAATCTTCACTGATTTCCGTAGCATCAAATCCAGGAAACGGAAATTGAACTTGTGAACAGTGAGGACCATTTACATCTCGAATGCCCTTGACCCCTTCCCACTCTTCGATAGGTCTTGTTTTCTGAAAGCGTAGATCTCCTATTGGAGGTTGGGCATATGGAATTTTCACGAATCTGTACACCTGTCCGTCATCATGGAGTTCTTCATATCCTCTTACCCAGCCAGACGGCGTCTTGACCTCCACCACATTGACGATATCGGAGCCAAACGCAAACGTGAACAAGTATATTTCAACGTAACAAAATATAGAAAAGTATTTCATTCTTCTTCAGTTGTGCCTGGAATATATTTTAAGTTAACTTAGTTGTGTAAAACAGATGTAAATATTTGTTGAATTTCCGTCATTACAGAATATTTTTTGGCATATTTAATTTTCAGTTTCGTAAAGAATATCTTGAACGGATTAAAAAAACTAGATTTTCAAAATGTGCAACCATTGTAAATTTTCATTAATAAGGGAAAATATTATCTTTAAAGCTTCAGTTTTAGTTTTCAAGCTACGACTGAAATTTCCAAAAATATTTTAACAGTTTTATATCATATCTTTACGGATTTCACTCACAAAGGTTTTGAGATCCGTCGGCTTTGTTATGTGCCTAAAGTCTGCATAATGTTTACTTTTCTGTAACCCAGTATGTGTCATTTTTTTCTCTTTCAGATATGCGCAAAGTAATCTAACTGCATTGATGAAGCAAAGAAAAATGCGAAGAAGCTTTCCACTAATTTGTTAACAATTACCGTCCTTAACTAGAATATTATTGAAAACAGCTATAGCAACTGGGAATTTTCCTTAATTTACCTTTTGTAGAAACTCTATAATATGTTCTGAATATCAAATACTTTTCTGTTGTTTGCCAAATTTTAAGAACTTTCAAGTAAAAGAAAGTCATTGTAGGAAAAACTGCTTTTCTTTTACATAATAAGTTGGTGTGAGAAATAATTGTTCAGTGTATTAATGCATTCAGAAAGGTTTATCGGTTATTATTTTTGACTTGCGAAGCAGTATAGATAAATCATCCAAACTTACTAAATATCTATTTAAAAACAAGAGCATTCAAGGTCACAAGAAAAAAGACCATGTAGTCAAATAACAATGTTTAGTTGAAAGGAAAATGAAGTTAAATCATAAATTATATATTTACATCCACTAAATACTTTTTTTTTCCTTTAATTGGTATGAAAATCATTTCCCTTTACTAATACATGAATACTAAACTAGTTTGAAAAGACCACCTGCATTGAAAAAAAGGAAAGATTTTTAAGCAAATGACTCTTCTATCAATGAAACATACCAAAAAGATAAATAAGACAATATTTTACATAATTTGACCTTCTTTATACTTATTTTTTTGTATTAAAACATATATATTAAGCAAAAATTAACATAATTTTTTTGTTAATGCTGAATTAACAGTTGCAACCATTGCAAGAAAAAAAAAATTAGATAGTAATATATATTTTCTTATACTAGTTACAACCCTTGATTCCCCATGAAAGAAAAAGATAGCACTTTTGTTTAAATAATTTTTTTTAAATAAACAAGTAATTATGAATGAATGGATATTTTACTCTTAAAAACATTTGGGTTTGTACGGATGGTGTTCTGTACATATGCGTTCAAAGGAAAACACGTTAAATATCGTAAACAAGTTTATCACAATTCATACACGACTTAAACTAACGCCTGTTTGAACTCGACCTCGCATTAAACTGATGTATATACAACAAAACATGACTAATTATGAGAAAAAGAAATTAAATCATGTCTTATAAAATGAACCTAAAGTTTACTTAATACAACTGATGCTTCGGAGACCTGGCAGGGATTTCTGACCACATCCTCGAAAAGAGCTGACAATGCAAATTATGCTTACATTTCTCGTGCAGAATTTGTTACACACTAACTTACCTGTTCTAACTCTCGTGTAACCGATGTATAGTGTAGATAGTGTAGATAGTGTAGACAGGCTTTTCAATTTAAAAATACTAGATATTTACATTACCTGCATTAGCCGTATACTAGATTTTGACCCTCTCTGTGAATGAGTATTGGATGTATATATTTGCAGCCTGTATTTTTTTAAGCCATATATGGCGTATTTTTGATAAGTTCAGAAAACCAAAATTATATTAAAAGATCTTTCCATTTGTTTTATTAACTTTATAAAAAGATAGGACTTTTCTGTAGATTACACAATTTAAATCAATCGTGTTTTAAAGATATCAAAATTTAAATCAATTATCGATTTATTTACCGACTCCATAAAGTTTAAAGTCAATTTAACTATAGAAACGTAAGAATTTTCAAGTTCAAAATCGGTGAAAATTTTAATTTGAACATATATCACGTATATCTACATTCAATTTTTAGCATTATTGTTTTTTTTAGCTTAGATATGCCATATAAAGCTTTAACGATTGATCAATACAATATACTAATTTCAATTATAAAAATGACAAAATAGCAAAAATCAATTCGAACAGAATTGAAGTTTTTTCACTCAGCACTATGCCACAAAGTAAAATATTTCCATAAATAAGTTGTATTTTTTCTCCATTGAAAGCTTATAAACTCCATGTTCTAAATGAAAGAATTGAGCATTGTTGATAATACATAATTTTTTTTATTACTATGAGAGAACAATCTTAAGCAACAGTCGACAACAGGGATCGTTTCAGAAAAAAAGAGGAAAATGTCAGAGGCAAATCCAAAACGTTACGTTTTAAAATATTTATTAAATATCAGTAGTGGAAGGACTTTATACTCATTACTGCATTTAATATTTTATTTTCACGTATTCTATTTAATATATTGTTGCAAATAATCCAGGCATAAAATATATTCATAGTCTTATCCAAAGAAACAAATATCTCTATGCTGACCCATATACATCTTTGATTTAGATTTATGAAATCAGAGTATATCATGAGTTGATTAATGATTTGAAATTTTATTATTCTCCAATGCATTTTTAAAAATAGGTCTTGAAGTAGCTCTAGTAAAGCCTTATTTTATGAAATAGATTTTTAAAAAATAAATCATTTCAAAGCTGAACAGAGTTTTATGGTACACATGAATCATAATGCATCCTCTGATGCCCATTTTGCATTTACAAGACTTTTAGTATGGATGCCTCCTTAAAATTATTTTTGAAACATTTTTTTTTCAATTCAATTAACAAAAGTAAATCGGAAAAAACGCTATTTAAAATGCATCAAAATCCACCAACGTATATAAATCAAAATTGTTTTAGAGGAAGGGTTCGCCTTCCTAACAATCAGATATCCCCCTTTCCAAAAACCTAGTCATAGCTCTGACTTACTGCTTTAATTAATGCAATAATTAACAAAAATAAATAACTTTCTTCTTATTGTAACTATTGTATGTTCGCGATAAGTTAACATCTTTGCATGATTATTTGATTTACCAAAACAGAGAGTCCGAAAAGATGAACCAACATCGAACACCCCAATCACACCCAAAAAGGAAAAGAATATTTCACTTATATCTGTATGACACAATTACAGCTTCGTAATTACATTAACAGAACTTCATAGAGTACAATTTCAGTATAAACTCTAAGTTATCGATCCTTACTCATATGAAAAAATCATCAAATTATATGTGTGCAAGAATGCAATTAAAGTCTCCCTGAATAATTAAAAAGTTCTTTAAGAATGGACTATGGTAAACAAAAGCATATAATATTTTTATTTTAAAAAATGTTTTCTCGTGCATGCGAATAAAAGTTGGTTTGCAGCAACGTGCTAAATCAATTTTGTATGTTTCATTATGCATGTTGCTTGATTTGTATACAGACCTTTGGATCGTGGTAACGTTAAATGCATTATTATGAAATACTTTGTAAAAATCTAATTTCTGGAGTGAGATAGAGAGGTTTTGACCTTCTGGTCCAAATTTTGCATTTAAAAAACAAAACTTCTTAACACTGATTTTCATAAAGAGCTTTAGCATGGGATTGAAATGAAAATAGTATGAGGCATGAAGCGCCACTTTTTTTAAGAAATGATTTTTATGTAAGACTATGAATTGAAGAAAATTTAACACGTAGATTTGGAAGAGTTATAATTCATTCTCGTAACATAAAATTAGAAATATGAGGTGTATATGAAAAGAAATATTTAGTGTCATACCGATTAAATTCATATTAATAAACATAATAAAGCGCTGTTTCTCAGTCAAAATTTCACAATGTGATAAAAAATTATTTGATTGTAAGAAATGAACGCATCCATTATCAAGAATGATCTTTTCTTAATTTTTTCAATGGAAAAATGTAATACTAATAAAAATATGCATATCATACAAGATACATTTAAGCATTTTTGAAATGGTTAACACATGTTAAAAAAAAAGAGAGCATTCAATTTGTGTGTGTTTTAAAACTGGAGGTAAATGTTTTATGTCAAATATATAAAGAAATTTAGAAAATATAGGTAAAAGGAAATAGAAGTCAATGATTCCATCAGATATATGGTTTAATTAAATTGTATCTCAAAAGTATCAATCATTAAACTCTGGATAAATAAAGTACTAATATTATTAGCAGTTTTAACTCGGATTTTAATCTCTTGTATCACAGTGTCGCCCCCTAATGTCAATTTAAAAGCAGGCATTTTTCATAATGAACACCAAAAAATTTACACGCTATGTTCTGCGCAAAATCACTAGAAATGACATTGCTGCTATATTATAGATACTTGTAGTAAAACACAAGAATATAGAAATACATTTGAAAAATGATATAATTTATCATGCATAACATAGATCACTCCCTTTTAAAATGATTCTTTTTAAAGAAGTGTGGCGCACGCCTCGAGATTTTCTCCCCCTGTTCATGGAGTGTCCAGAATAGTGTATTTTTGTTGATAATATCGAAGGTTTGCAGATCTTCTGCATTTGGGTCACCAGGAGAAAGAAAATACGAAAAAAATGAGGAAACAAATAGTTTCAAATAGTAATATTGGTTAAACAGAAAATTTTAAAAGCCTAAAATGAATATATCAGAGTAAGCAAAACATCTTTCTTTTGTATTACAATGCTTGTAAGGATGAGATTTGCCGAAAGCTTTTTAGTATCAAGATCTATCCATAGTTGGCGAAGGAAAGCTTTATGCGGTGCATTTCTGTGTTGACATGTTAAAATCCACGTAGAAATCTGTATCTGTTAAATTTAAATATTATCAGCAGACTAGATTTTAACTCTGTTCACAAAAGGGAATTAATAAACGGTGTATTTAAAGATCTGACCGGATTTTTTCTCTTTTGTTGTAAGTCTCATAAGTTGTATGTGTGCTTATTTGGTAATGTTTTATACATTGTATGAGCTTTTAACACAGATAATGTGATAAATTTCAAAGCAATTTAAAGAATTGCAAAACACATTCTTAGGTTGTGTATTTTGGGGGTTGAGCTTACATCTTTTCTACTATCGCACACACTGAGGTTGCCTGGTTTATCAGGTACTTTGATTTTACCCTCTTCTCATAACTTTCATGTCTTTGTTTTTTTTAAATTCTCTTTTCATTTCCTCTATTTATTTTTATTTATTTATTTATTTACTTATTTTTTTCTTCTTCAAATAATTGTAGAAAGAAACGCCAACCTCTTCGCTCTTTAACTGAAACTGAACAACCGTTATTTTCAGGAGCAGAGAATTAAAATCTTCTAAAATATAAACACAAGAGGCACTTGCAAATACACACTAAAATAATGATTGAATATCAAATTCACGAGAATATTCCAGACTTCAAAATGATTTGAAAATGAATACAGGCAAAGCATTTTTGACCATGTGTGTATATTTACTGAAGATTTCAAGCACAAAACAAGTTCAGCAGAAAATTGGATGAGGTGGTAGCTTTATTCTGTCTGATATATTATTAAAGAATAACATCTATATGTTAAAGTAAAAAGATTGCAGTTTTTCGTGAACTATAACATATTTCATACCAGTATGTTTCTTGTCAATTAAATTTGAGAAAATGATCTTCAATGGATTTGATTTACATACCCTTTTATTCATGACTTTAATATTCTTATGCGTATAATTCATTGGAATATTTCTTTTATTTATAGTTTCTTTCGTACATTTACAATATGTTCCAGTTCACCTTATATCCGTTTGTTGAAATTAACTTACGTTTGATATTTTTCATACTAATTGTTAGGCGATTATTTACACACTGAATTGTCGACGGATTTTTCCGTCATTTCCCGATCATGACAAGGAGCACACGGCGGGTGTGACCGGTCGGCAGGGGATGCTCACTCCTCCATGGCGCCTGATCCCACCTCTGACGTTTTGGAGGTCTGTGTTTGCTCTGCTCCTATTTTGTAATGTTTAATGGACTTTTGAGCTTGAATACTGTTCGTTATCTCCATATATTTCATTGTGCTATACACGTTTGGTTACTTGTAATTCATTTTACCTTAACAAGCTACATGTGTTTGGATAACTCAACCAAAATTAATAGAAACGATTTAACTTACAAGCTTCATATTTTAAAGATCTGTTTCAAAACGCTTATACTTGTAATTAGTATTACACAGAGTCATTTACCTCTATCCCTTTCTACTTTTTATAATAAGGCAGATACTAGAGTCGCTTTCGATAGCCAAATGTGGTTAGAATTCAAAAACTTTAATAAACATAATACTTCAAATTCATTTAAGTCTTAGGTTATAAATTCAACCTCTATAGGCACTGGATTATTGCTTGATAATAAATCTCTGATTGAATCTACAGAGGGAAAAAATATTTTCAAATAAAAGGGGAGTTTGTTGCAAGAAAGCTTAGCTCAGTGTTAATGTCATTCAGTCCATTAGTTGATGAACAGATTCCTCTTAGCATAAGCTAGTTAAATTTTTTGAACGCACCCATATTTAGTTCAAAATCTGAAAATTTTTATGACATTTGCATGGCCTAAGACTGGGCACATCAAGATATGAGGAAGGCGCTTTGGGATGGAAGAAATGTGACAAAGAATCCAGATTTCGCAGCAGTATTCATATGTTCTATCCATATTATGGTCTAAAGTAAACAAGTTGTAACTGATATTTAGTAGAGTCGGACTAATCTTTCTCGCAAATATTTAAATTTTAGACCAGCCTGTCAGCAAACACAACTGCACAAAAAAAAGGCTCACTGTCTTCGGTCCAGTACTCTTGTTCCTTTTTTTACATTGCATTTAGGTCAGGAAATCTCCCCTCAGGTCTAATTCAAGGGAAAGGGCAAATTCACGTTAGACCCCTCTCCTAACCTCCTTGGCTTTGTCCTTTGAGATAACGTTGCCTGCATCATTTTTCAGATTTATATTTCCCAGCTGTTTATCTACTACCTACCACTGCAACAAACCAGATTGGGCATATGGAAACAATTATTTTTGATTTTCATTTTAGCATGTACGCATGCATTTCAAGTTTTTTCTTAACAACACAAAAAGGACATATAATGATGACTAGGTACAACTTTAAAATACATATTTGAACTTTCCACAAGTTTACAATAATGAATAATTAGTGTTCTTGATAAAGGATATGCAAAAAATTTGCAAAAAAAAGTTATTGAGGTTAAATTAAGGAATTTTTTTTTATTATCCTTATGTTCTGTTCTTTTTGGAGACTTTTTTTTTTACAATAATCGAATACGTTTTACATTTTAACTCACTTGAGGGAAAGGCTCAAGTAAGCTTTATTGATCAAAGAGTTTCTGATTCTATCTATCTGTCCTCTGTCGTCTTTAATATCAAAGTTTTACATAGAAATATATATGACAAAAATCTTCCTCTTACGAACAAGTAGGTATGATTACTCCTAATTATATGCAAGCATTCTCAAGAAGTGCAAATTCAAGTCTGTTCAAATCATGGCAGTTAGGGCCACATCAAAATATTAATATTAAACCATTCCAAATTTGTTTTTCTTGCACGTTTTTTGACAAATCATTGACTATTGGCTTACAAGATGAGGATACTCAATAAAATCTGCGATCAAATGTTACAAATAAATGCATGTTTACAAGAAAAAATTTATGAAATCCTTTTCTTCATAACAGCAAATCATTAGTCATATTGCTATTGAAACATACTCATGATAGGTGGAATCAAACTTGGATGACCCCAGAGTGGATCAGATATTTTTTTCATAAGAATCTCTTAAAAATCTGAAGAACACTAATGCTAGGATGACTCTAGTGACATTGTGGGCCAGGCATCTTGTTTAAATTGCACACATTCATTCACTATTCATGTTTTAAAATCTCATTTGGCGAACTTTTTAATGGTAATTTTTTTTCAAACATTAATTTCCCTGTGCTGTGTTTACACCATTGATATATGTGGGTTTTCAAATAAAATGCTATTTTCTGAAGAACAGTGTAATATATTGAGATGTGGCTGTGGCTACTTTCAAGGCTAACATTTTTTTTAGCTGACAAATATGCATTTAAAGTATTATACCTGTTACAGCAAATTAATATTTACAAATAGTTGTAGCCATTCAATTGATTTAACTACATGTATTTCATTTGCTGGAGGAGCATTGAGCACTTTATAAATGCAAAATAATTCTAGAGATAATAAACCGTATACAACCCAAGATACTTTTCAAAATGAAAATGACATAAACAAGTTAGCGAATCTTATTTATAAAAATATTGAGGTTTTTAGTTTTGGCTAGTCTCACATACCTTCACAAAAATCAAATCCTTCAAATTAATGGGGGATAACCACTAAGAGTTAAGGAATGTTGATACTGGACACGATCATAGCATTCTTTCTCTGTTAATTTGTTAATTTTGTTAATTTTTTAAATAATACTCCGTAAATTTACATCTTGGTAATTCCAATCTACTTCTTCTTTTTGCCCAACATTGGGATTGGACGCTTAACCCTGTCCTTTTTTTAATACAAGGACGTCCTTTTATTTGTTCGCAACCATGATTGAAACAAAAAATGCATTATATTTGAAGATTTTATTAAAATCAACGTGCTGAATTTTGATATATTAAGGATTATACTGGATGTAATTCTTTTATTTCTGAAACAATATAAAAAATATCCTTTTTTATTTCTATATTTGAACGTTTATTTTTCTTTTATCACTGATTAAAAATTTTACTGATCATAAAACGCAACATACAAAATAATGAAGCTAAAGCAAAAGCAGTAGAAATACGTGCAATGACATCACTGTGTAGTATGTTACAGTCATTGTCGATTTTAAAGGACTCAAGTTTACAGAGTCCGAAGTACATGGACTACTGTTGTATAATTCATCCTGCGTATCATTAGGTTGCCCTTTGAGATATACTTTTTTAAGAAGATGCGTGGCGTTAGCTTTGAGACTTTCTCCTTCTGTTATTGGAGTGTCCAGGATTGCATATTTCTTGGTGAGAGTATCAAATGACGGCCAGTTTGGAAGTCCTTCCGCATTGGGATCACTATAAAGAATAAAAATATGGGCAGCTTTGAATATTACAAAATCTTTTTAAAAAAACTGCATTCAACTGTAACAACAAATGGAAATTTAAAAAAAAGTACTGTGGAATCATCATTGTTCGTGGGGGATCAATGTTCGTGGATTTCGTGGGTCAACCTAAACCACGAATTTACATCCTCACGAACAATTTTTTTTTGGTCAGCGTACTGATTAATTAAATCTACCAAATAAATGAGCTGCCCACGAAATTACATCCCCACGAAACAATGAAATTTTGCTTGCCCACGAACATTGACCCCCACGAATTTAAATGATTCCACAGTATGCAATACGATTTTTATTTCATAAAATGAAATATTAAGCTTTTCCAAAAGCTTGAAAGAAACAATACCCACCCATATTTGGCAAAATTAGTCCAATATTTAATGACGTCTTTAGACAACTTCTCTACGGCCACAAGGTCATGTTTTTTCAAAGTCTCCTCTGGGACATGATCGTGAGTCACATTAAACATAAGATGCAATTCGTCGCCGTGAGCAGCCCCTTTGAACCAGGATGGTGGTTCTTGAAAAAAGGGAAAAGGACTTGGTTTGGTGATTAAATATTGAAATGTTTTAGATTTATTGTTGTTTTTTGCATGAATTTCTAACATGTTATTGCTAGGTACGATAAACCATGAGTCACCGTGGAAATCAGCCACTTTCATACTCTGCTCATCGTCACCTTTAAAGGAAGTGTAAAACTCGCAGATTTCCTGAGTTAGTTCCGGAATATTTCCAGCAACTATATCTACGAATAATGGCGCAGTTATTTCACATAAAACATTTAAGGGAACCCGTTCCAATGGGTTGAATCCAAACTTTTTTTGAATTTCTGTAGAAAACATCATATACAACATATTTCCCTCTCCGTTTAAAGTTCCTGATATGAAATCAATGCTTCGGAAAAAGCGATAAACCTCGTCGTCCCAAGACTTTGGATATGCCAAATTTTCTTTGAACAAATCGTCATCAACTGAGGGAACCAAGCTACCAAGCACAAAAGTTAAATTTAAAGGTTTCTGAAATTCTGTCATGTCTATTGTCGCTGTTAGTTTTTCTGCAGGTACTTCTCGCAAACATTTTAGAGTTTCTTCAATATTCACTTTACATTTGCAATTTGTTTTCTTAAGTACCATATCATTGGTCTGTTTTTCTTCTCGTGTTCTCGAAATAGAAAAAAATGAAGCTACTCCACTTTGTGAAATGGCTCTTTGAAAAAGCCCTTTGTTTGATGGGATCAGTGTCTGAAGACTCACACTCATGGCACCAGCTGACTGTCCAAATATTGTCACGGATTTTTGGTTGCCTCCGAATGCTGCAATGTTATTCTGAACCCACCGCAAAGCCTCGATCTGATCCCAAAGACCGTAATTTCCAGGTGCTAGAGGGTCGTGCAGATTCAAAAACCCCAGAATACCTAATCTATAATTTATGGTAACAACAATTACATCACCTCCTAGAACTAACTTCTGAGGTTTGTACTGACTAGCTCCACCAAACACAAATCCCCCACCATGAATCCAAACCATCACAGACAGATTTCTATATTCAGAAATTTTTCCAGGTACATATATATTAAGGTATAGACAATCTTCGTCGGTTTCCAGTACGTCAAATCCAGGCGTTGGGGACGGCATTTGAGAACACTGTGGTGCATTTACTCCTCGAATACCCTCCACTCCTTCCCAATATCCAATGGGTTTTGGTTTTCGGAAACGCAAATCTCCTAATGGAGGTTGAGCATAAGGAATTTTTACGAATCTGTACACCTGCCCTTCGTTATGTAATTCCTCGTATCCCCTAACCCAACCAGAGGGGGTCATGACCTCCACTACATTAATGACATCAGACCCAAATGCAAAGATGACCATGCATATCCAAACACTTATCAATGGGATATGGTTCATTTTTTAGATAGAAAGTCTGAAAGAAAACAAAAAAAATTTCTTTAGAAAAAAGTAAAGCAAATATCAAGACGGGTAATGTTTAATATGCTAGACTGAAATTCACCAAAATGAGCAATTGTTAAACATGTTTAATTTGTATGATTTTAAAATTCACAACATTTAAATTCTGAGAAGTTGAAGATTTTTATTTTTCATTAAACGTGTGGATAGAGATAGATTCATTGATAGCGATAGTAATGAATATATTTTTCGTTGTATTTCACAATTATCTTGACCAAAGTAAATGTTTGGGCTATTGAATCAAGGTGAATCAAACTTTTGCGTAATATAAATTCATGCTCAACATTTTTTTAAAAAGAAAATTAAAAAAGCAAATATCTGTATAACTGCCCACGGAGGTAGAACATACCTATTCTACGCAGATATAAAAATAAGCTAAGATATATTTAATGAATTTAAGAGTTTTGATCTTTGATCACTTACCTTTTTCACCGCAATAAGCTGTTAAGTGTTGCAACGATGTGTCGACTTTATTAAAAAAAAAACCAACTAAGCAAGCAGTATCTGTGATATTTAAATAGTTTTGACGGACAAGAGATTTGTGAATGATGTATTCTTAGGTATGACCGACTTAACTTTCTTTTTAAAAACCCGTTTATCTAAAGATCGTATATGCCTTTATTTGGACATGTTTTATTCAATCATATATGCACAGGTTGAGAAATTGAACCCGTTTATGGAAATAGTTGTACATTGGTACCTATACATTTTTTTGTGTTTATAAAACATGTACATATTTGGCAATGAAATAGTTAACAATTTATAAATTTAAGAATTATAAAAAAAAAAATGTTAGTTATAGGGAACGAATTGGTGTTAGTGTGTGTTTGTGTGAGTGTGTGTGTGTGTGGGGTGGGGTGGGGGGTTCGTAGGGGGACCAAGCATCTTCCCTACCTTCGTATAAGTAATATAAGTAATATTTACTGCGTCAATTCCTTTGTTGGACAATTGAAGTTTAAGGAACAAACGAGTTGTTTAAGCAATATTCTCTTCCGTAAAAAGTGGAAATTTGAAAAGCCAATGAGTTGCAATATCCATGATCACAGATCCATGACTTAATTCTGATGTCGAGACAAAAGTTTCTGAAAAACAAGATTATTTCATTTTTTCTATCGCCTTCATTTATGTAGCAGTATACCATTATCACCTGTATATGGAGTTTATGTCTTCAAGTTGAGTCGATATGCAAGCTATAGACATATAAAATGATGAAACAAGAATATCAACACTGTCGTTTAAAGTCAACATTTCGCAAATTTTCTGGTCAATACAAGGATCTTGTCAACAAATGCAATCTCTCATTAATCCGAATGTTGACTGACGTTGTACACTGAAATTATTCAGCCATAATTTTCCCTGAATTGTCCATGGATTTGTTCCCCGTTTGCCCGATCATAATAAGGATCACACAGCGAGTGTGACCGGTGTACAGGGGATGAGCACCTGCTCCAGTCTCTGACGTTTTGTAGGTTCTATGTTTGCTCAGCTATGAATTTGTCAGACGGTAGAGCGCTCGCTTCGTGATCGGGAGGTCGAATTCGAATCTCGGCCGCGACTGACCTAAGTTGATAAAAAATGGGTAGCAACTGTTCCTTCGCCATGCGCTCGGCACTTTGAAGTGAAAGTTGCGGGTCCTTCGGATGAGACCTTAAAAACCGTGGCCCCGTGTCACAGCAGGCGTTGGCACGATAAAGACCCCTCACTGCTCAATGACCCTGAGTGCCGAGTAAAGGTCTAAATTTGAAGCCCTTCAACGGTATATGGTGACGTCTCTATATGAGTGAAAAATTCTCGAATGGGACGTAAAACTACAATCAATCAATCAATCAATCAATCAATCATTGAACAGAATCTCTTTATTTTGTTTGTAATGGTTTTTTGTACGCCTTTCCATGCAGTAAATTTCTTTTAAACGAACTAAAGTATCTGTTTAAGTCTTGAGTGATGGTCATTTGCAAAATTAGCCAAGTAGTTTTGTCTTCCTCAGTCGAATTTGTATATATACATGCAACAACTTTTACTACGAAAATTGTGAAGGAGGTTTAATCCTGAACATTTGAGCAGACTTTTTTCCTGGCCTACTTTTCGAAAGTTCTGCTGCATATCTTAATTATAAGGATAAATCGGGACTCTTTATTTCCAATTAAACGATATTTAGTCGAAAATCCATGATTCAATTCCATGCAAAAACATAAAGAGTTAAGAATTTTGTGGTGGATTTTTTTTTTTTAGAAGAAAATGAAAGTATAATTTACAGTACTGTTATTTACCCTTGATTTCAATTTTCCATGCAGGCTGAATGAAATATATGGAGATAACGAACAGTATTCAAGCTTAAGAGTCCATTAAACAATACAACATAGAAGCAGAGCAAACACGGACCTCCAAACATCAGAGGTGGGATCAGGTGCCATGGAGGAGTGAGCATCCCCTGCCGACCGGTCACACCCGCCGTGTGCTCCTTGTCATGATCGGGAAATAACAGAAAATTCTTTTATTGCTTACTAAATGCAAAAGAAGAAGAAAAAATGATATATATTGAGAATGCAGAAAGGACAAATAATTGATCATGTGAAATAATTTGAAACTATTTCTTTGTCACAAGTTTTAGTGTCTGAGACTTTTTTTGGTCCCAAGATTTATTTGGATAAATAATGCTGGAAGAAAAACTGTGTAAAAGATATATATTTGTATGTCGCAATAACAGTGCAAAAAGATCCTTAAAAAGCACCGTAGTGCCAAAATAAGAATTATGACCACCATGTTTTGTTTTGATTTTTAATTAAACTATGCGTAGATACTTAAATTATACTTAACCAAAATTCTGATCTATTTTCATAGCAGGATCCAGCCTCCATAATTCATACAGGTTTTGTGAACTTTATAACTATGGTTTGCAGGGGGTGAAATTCACATGTCACAACAATTACGAACAATACTGGAGTAACAAATTTTGGACACTCTCAAAATTGTTTCTATATACCGGTACAAAAGGTTGACATAAGCAGAACTATAATGATCTTACTGACCTTTCCTTTCGCTGGTAAGTCTTACTTGTATTATATATAGTTATATTTTAATCAAAACATGTACATGTGTATACAGATTGAGAAGTGATACATTTTGAAATATACAATTTAAAACATCATGACAAAAAAAAAAAAAAAAAAAAAAAAACAAAACTTGGCCACAATTAGACAATTTGTGTGTTGAGGGGGTTGGGCTCCCCATCTCAGTACACATACGATTTTGTCGATTCAAATGAAACTTTATTTCTGGCGTACTTTAATTGAACCCTCATTCTCATGAACTTTTATCTTTTATTATTTTAATTTTTATTATCTTAAACTAAAAAATCTCCTTTTGTTCATACAATCACTTATTTATTTATCTTCATTCAAAATTTATAAGTTGGGAATTATCTGAAGTGCCCCATGTAATTAAAATTGAACATCTGTATAAATTGTTTTTCTCACGAACAGAAAGAAAGAAAAGTTCCAAAGTATTCCAAAATGCAAGAAATGCTCGGAACATTACTATAGTATTGGTGAAACTATACATGTATAAGACTACTAGCACAAAACAGAATTGATTTCACCATCTACATTTTGACAATGCGATTTTTTCGCTGAAGTTTAAAGGAAAATCAGAGAAGCTGTAAATTTTTTCTGCATGCTGTGAAATTACTTCGATATGTGAAACATCTCTGAGTGAAAGGTCTGGGTGGGAAAAGTCAAAGACATTGAAGATGTTCTCTACAAATGGTTTGTCAATAGACCTGGGCTGGGATTCATAAACATACTTAGATTTGTGCTAAGTTTCACACTTAAGTATAAAATAAATTCTTAGCTAAGAAAAAATTCTTAAGTCATATTCATATAAATTCTAAGTGCAATTCTTAGCTAAGTTTAATTCTGAGAAAATTAAAGCACTTAAGTTAGGTCACCCTAGCAACGCATACAATTTCCCGAACAAAAAGCGCACTCTTTTGTGATGAAGGTATTTAGTTCTATGTGTATTACATCACAACTGATACAACATTGTCATCAACATTGCACAATGCTGCATCTTACAAATTGATAAACATCTCAAAGTCAAAACAAGTTTCTAGTTTGATGTAATAGCATGGTTTCTTACTGAAAGAGTAAAATGTCTTCTGTAAAGCATTATTTTTACTTGATAAAGAAAACTTAAGTATTTCTTATCTACTTAAGACACCTCCTGAGGACACTTAACCTTAAGTCAATACTTAAGCACTAAATATGTTTATGAATTACACTTAAGTATTTCTACCAAATTTAAGTAATACTTAGGGACTTAAGTATAAAATATATAACTTAAGTGATTTTTTAAACTTAAGAATATGCTAAGAAGTTTTATGAATCCCGGCCCTGTACTTGATCTTACAGTAGAACAAAAGCCGGGGTATGGACGAACATCTTTATTATTATTTCTTAAGTACATGTATATGCTGAATTTATTAAATAATCAGAATGTAGAACATCTTGTACTAAAAATATTTCTCATTCTATTTATTGAGGTTACGTCATCAACCTAACACTGATATGGGTAAAAAGTGACATGTGCGTCACTCTGCCTCATCTCCCACGAACAATGTTTTAAAGTTTTTGAGTAAATGCCTTTCGCCCGCCCCCGCCGCCTCAACAAAAAAATTGATATTTTATATTTGTAAGCATTTTCAGACCCACTTTCATGATTTTTCTGTTAAGTTTAAGTTTTAATAACTGAAAATTTGGATTATCTCCATTTACAAATTAAATTTATTTTCTACATTTATATTTTGTGTCTGTTAAAATTATATGGCATTGTTTTTAAGACTTTTGAGAATTCCAATCAATTTATTAAGCGTCACAAAGGTGGTAGCACACAATAAAGGTAATCCTAGTTTATTTTATCAAGTCTCACATTCAACTGGTCAACGATAGAAATTGCATATACCATCTTACAAGTCTGGGACTTGTGTTACATTGTGGTTAATGTAGGTTAATGATAGTGTTCTAAGGTGCCTATAGATGACTTAAGTACGATCTCTAAAATATGTTATCAACAAGAATCGCCAATATTGAACACTTCTTATAAATTACATAGCTATGTACTTATCAAAACCACTAAAAATGTATGCAATGATATTACTGTGTAATATATGATGGTTATAATTGAGTTTACAGGATACACTCTCACTGAATGAGAACTACATAGACTATTCTTGTCTTTAACATTATTAAATGTAAAGTTTCCTTTCGAAATGACTTTCTTCAATAGAACTGTGGCGTTAGCTTTCAGATTTTCTCCTTCTGCTATAGGAGTGTCCAGAATTGCATATTCTTTGGAAAGAGTATTGAATGAGGGCCAGTTTGGAAGACCTTCCGAATTAGGATCACTAGAAAGGAGAAAAATATGAGCAGCTTTGATATTATAGAAACAATCGGAATTTGCATTCGACAGTAATGTTAAATAAAAATGTAACTTTTTCTTTTATACTAGTATTGGAAGGTATTAAAGGATTTGGTTTTGCAAAGGCTTGTAAAAATCAACACTTACCCATTCTTGGTGAAAATAGCCCAATAGTTAATGACATTTTTAGACAATCTTTCTACTGCCCCTAGATCGTGCTTTTTAAGCGTCTCTTCTGAAACATGATCACTTGTCACTCCAAACAATAAATGCAAGTCTTCGCCGTGACCAGCTCCTTTAAACCAGGATGGTGGTTCTTGAAAAAAAGGAAAGGGAGTCGGTTTGGTGATTAGGTATTGGAATGTTTTAGCTTGACTGTTGTTTTTTGCATGAATTCCTAACATAATGTTGCTAGGTACGATGAATAATGAGTCGCTCTGAAAGTCGGTCACTCTCCTACTCTGCTCGTCATCGCCATCAGGGGTAGTGTATAGCTCACATATTTCCTGAGTCAGTTCCGGAAAATTTCCTGCAACTGTATTCACATATGATGGTGCAAAGCTTTCACATAGAATGCTTACAGGTACCCGTTCTGATATGTTTAAATTGAAACGTTCTTGAATTTCCTGAGATAACATCGAATACACCAAAATCCCTTCTCCGTCTAGAGTTCCTGACATGAAATCAATACTACGAAAAAACGAATAAACATCATCGTCCCAAGACTTTGGATATGCCAAATTATCTTTGATCAAATCGCCATCAATCGTCGGACCCATGCTACCTAATACAAAACTTACATTTAAAGGGCTCTGAAACTCCAACAACTTTATAGTTGCTGTTAAATTCTCTACAGGTAAGTCTCGCAAACATTTAAGAGTTTCTGCAATATCCCCTTTACATTCGCAATTCGTTTTCTTAAGTACCAAATCATTGGTCTGTTTTTCTTCACGTTTCGTTGGAAAACAAAATAAGGAAACTACTCCACTTTGTGAAATGGCTCTTTGAAAAAGCCCTTTGTTTGATGGAATCAGTGTCTGAAGACTCACACTTATCCCACCCGCTGCATTTCCAAATATAGTTACGGATTTTGGATTGCCTCCAAAGGCTGCAATATTATTCTGAACCCACCGCAAAGCCTCGATCTGATCCCAAAGACCGTAATTTCCAGGTGCAAGAGGGTCATGAAGTGTCATGAACCCCAGAAGACCTAATCTATAATTAATGGTAACGACGATTACATCACCTCCTAAGACTAGCTTCTGTGGTTTGTATTGACTAGCGCCACCAAACATAAATCCACTACCATGAATCCAAACCATCACAGACAGATTCCTATCTTCAGAAATTTTTCCGGGTACATAAATATTAAGGTATAGACAATCTTCGTCAGTTACCAATGTATCAAATCCAGGATATCTGTCCTCAATTTGAGAACATTGTGGTGCATTTACATCTCGAACTCCCTCGACACCTTTCCATTCTCCAATAGGTTGTGTTTTCTTAAAACGAAGATTTCCTATTGGGGGCTCGGCATATGGAATTTTTATGAATCTGTATACCTGAGTCTCGTTATATAGTTCCTCGTATCCTCTGACCCAGCCAGAGGGGGTCTTGACCTCCACCACATTAATTACATCCGACCCAAACGCAAACATGACCAAGCAAATACCAAATGAAATTGATTTCATCAGGTACATTTTTGTTGGAGAAATGTCTGAAATAGAAGATAATTGTTTCATGAGACAAAAAATTGCTTTACATAGTATCAGAAGAAATTCATTATGCATGTTATAATATGGATCGTCATAATACGCATGAAAAACTTGTTCAATTCGTAGGATTTTAAAATTCGAAACTTTGTATTCAAAGTTCATAAGCTATGTGTTTTGCTTGACATATGGACAGATGGGGGATCTGAAAACTATATACAAAGTATCAAGGCATATGGCATGAAAGTCATGAATCTAATCAACTTGACAGATTTAAAGAAAACATTGGTAAACAGAAATTGGTCCGGAAAATTAGAAAAAGAGTAATTCACATCGTTTTAACCAAACGGGAGCTTAAAGAGTTCGTGAGATCTTCTGATCACATTTTACCTGGCGTTCGTTTGCTTTTCAGTAGTCTGTAAACTTTAAACATTTTTTTAAATGGCCAACGTCTATCAAATATAGCACAAAGAATTTTGAGGATAAGGGAATTGTTTTTTGTTAAGATATATGACGTGGAACGCTCTTTTTAAGAGAAAGATAACTGAGAATTGATGAAAAATTACCAGGATCATTTAAACATCTTCTCAAGAACCAACGACCTAGAAACAATGAGACTTACATCATAAAAGATACCTGACATGGTGTAGATTCAAGTTTGTTCTAATTAAAGCCCCCCCCCCCCTCCCGGGAAGGTTGGGGCTATAAGGGTAGATTAAACTTTAAAGGGCGGCTCCGCGTGAATTGCATAGGCATCAAAAGCAAAGTCCTATATGGCCAAGCGGTCTAGCGCTGTTTCTGTATTGCAAGTAGACAGATTCTGTATATATATATATATATATATTAGGGATGGCAACCGAATACGGAATTGCTAATCGGTTAAGCGAAAGACGTTCCGACCGATTAATCGGTTGATCGTATCAAAATACACATTTTCCTATATATTTTATTTTTCAAGTAAACTCTAGTTATATACACAAGAAAACTGAAAAAGGCGTTAATGCTTTATTAGTAAGATATATATTATATTTTATTTCAATTTCGAACGGCAAGAAAAATAAGGAAACCATGAAACATCTCTTAAATATCGCAGAAATTGATATTGTTACAACACAAGGTCATTGTGCATTGTCACCATAAGCAGAAATTGAGTCTGAAATAATTTACAATGTTTGTTTGAAAACATAATTTGATAGATAACTGCGAAGGATAGACTGGGTAAGATAGCAATCATTTAACAGAACTCAAAAACGATTTAATCAATATCATAATTAAGACAGGCTGGGTAACGACATGGTATTTAAACAGCAATTAACACTTCGCAAAGTGACCAATTACCCCCAACAAATTCAATCTTGAGAGTCTTAATTAAATTATTTACCTCCTAATCAGCCGAATTAAATGTGGAAACGTTATAACTTATCAATATTCAGGGTTTTTTAACATTGTAAATCGTGTTTTAAGGAAATTTACACCTATTTTAATTTTTTTCAGACTAACCGATTACAGATTTTCTAACCCATTACCATCGTTCCGACCGAGTAACCGGTTAACCGATTACAAATTGCCATCCCTAATATATATATATATATATATATATATATATATATATATATATATATATATATATATATATATATATATATATATATATATATATATATATATATATATATATATATATATATATATATATATATATATATATATATATATATATATATATATATATATATATATATATAAAGCAGAGAAACTCGTTTTATATAAGGATACCCATTTCTGCCCCAAACCGGGGTCATGATCATTTAGAATGGAAGTGAGATGCATTCATTTTGACATTAGTTGGAGGATCCTTACGATACACATTGTAATGAAATAAATTTTATTTTTAAAGCACATTAAATTTACAGCTCTTAGACTAACATAATTGTCCTAAGTGAAGATATATCAATATAGAAAGCACAGGAAAATACCCACTTCCGCCCCAACCCGGAGTTGAAATAGGTATCCTACGGAATCTGTCTTCTAACAGTACAGGAACAGCGCGCTAGACCGCTCGGCCATCTAATCTCTTGGGACATAAAAGTTAACGTAAATAAAAAAAAATTCTGCCAGTGCTTAGTTTTAGATAGATACATTTTTTGATAAAATATAAAGTTTGTTCAAGGCTGCGCTCAATATTTCCTAAAAGAAAATTGCTTAAAATTAAGCAATTTTATGCAAAATATTCTAAAAGGTGAACTTGGTGATGTTATGTTTCTTGATTAATGAGATATTTATCAAATTGAAAATCACGAATGTAACATGCTTTGCTGTTCAAACACCCTATGTGCCAGGTTAAATTGAGATACTTATCACATCAAATATTATCACATCAATATTTAATTAACAATATTATAATGCAAGGGATAAGCTTATATTTACAAATTTCATACAAATTTTCAAATTAGTCGTCAAAATTTGAGTGTTATGTCCAAGACACGATGTAGTTACGATATCAGTATGTTACGATATCGACAGATTTCTTTTATATAGTTTGCTATGATATTTTTCTAGTTTTGTATGTATATTAGAATACTTTTTTGTTTTACGAATTGATTTCCTTACTTTCAATATCCCCGATATCGTACCGATATCGAATCATGATTGTTCAAAGGATTATGGTTTACATCCTTAATATTGTGTTTTTAAACATGCGAGTTGCTTGAAAACTATCATTTATAAAGCTCTTTCCCGGTAGTGTCGATATCGTCGATATCGACGATATCGCTTCGATATCGAATCATGTTTGCTCAACCCTTGGTAAGTACCGTGTTACTGTGTATATGTGTCTATGTTTAAATAATTTACCATTATGAAGATTGTACTTGCCATCGATATCGTCGATATCGTATCGAATTGAATCTTGATTGTAAAAACATAATGCTATACCAACTTTCACCCTAACACAAAACTTTACTTTTAATCTAGACAATAACATCTGTATTTCTTAAAACAATACTTGTGCATATGTACTGTCTGATTAATAAGTTGACCCTACTGTCGATATCGTCGATATCATATCGATATCGAATCATGATTGTTAAAAACATATTTACCAACTCTCCCCTCCTAACCCAACACCTTACTCTTAGCCTAACCCAAGACAATAACAACTCCTTAACCTTTCTATGTCATCCGAATTTATTTTCATATTCATGCCAATAATGAATCAATATCTACATCGCTTGTGACCTTGTTAAATTATGTCATGCCTCATTTTGAAAATGAATTGTACAAATAGGATCGATATCGATACGATATCGTCATGGTATTGTCGATATCGACGACATCGACATAACACCAAGTCTCATATATGGTATCAAGTATTTCCAAATAGTACTGATCAGGATCGATATCGACATAATATTGTCGATATCGTCGATATCAATATCGAATTCGTTCTTGGACATGTATGAAATTTGACATTTTTAGACATCAAGTACTATATACGAGGCTTGACCCAAAATAATACACAACCTTAAAATAGTTTTGTCAAAATAACAAAAACATAATTTCTTTACAATAAGTAAAACTTTTTCAGGAATTTATGAAATATTTTTTTAAGTTTCTGTTTTTCCTGGATACACCACAAATTTATTCACAGAAAATCAGTTGAATTGTTGTCATACTTAATCCTTGTAGATTTCCAATAAATTATTTCAGGTGTTGAATGGAGTCTTACCTGACTAAGTAACTTGACGAATCTGCTTCACCGTAATAAGCTGTGGTGGAACCCTTTGATGAAGAAAAGCAGTATCAATGATATTAAAATGTAATCAGTGAAGTTCACATTTACCTCTGTGTATAAATTGGTAAACAGTGTATCTAAAAATCGAAATTTCTAAATATCGAACCGGATGACATAAGGCCCGGTTAGCTTGTAAATGTCAACCTCTCTTATGCAAGGTACATTAGATCGTTTAATATCTATATTTAATAATGTATAAGATCATTGATTTCAGATTGATTTGTTGTTACTCTGTCTCTTTAATCAGATTCATCAAACCGAACTTCACTCCTATTTCAATCTAATTATAAACATCTTTGAAAATAAAAGTTTGTTGCATTGATAAAACTGTCTTGTCGCAAAATGCAATTGGTGTTTCATAACATAATACCCAGTAATACAAATTTATGCAAATATATCTCGAAAGATATTATATGTATATGTTTAAGGAATGGGAATATTATATATGCAAAATGAATGGTATTTTTGGCGAAATCTGTTAAGGGAAAATTATGTTCAATGGCTTGGTTATAGGCTTATGTCATCTGTGGAACTAGGAGATCATGTACTTATAAAAATGACGTATAAGGACATAGGATACCCGAAATTCGGGGGAAGTTTGGGAGGTCATCAAAACATCCTGTATGTCTTTGTTCTGACATAACATAGGGTCTAGGTTTCCTTTCAATGTCCGCCTCTTATACCAAATAGACATTATATAGTTCAATATCAAATATTACCCAAATTGTGATTAGATCATTGATTTGAGATTTATTTGCTTTTATTTAACTCTTCAATAAGATTTATCTCGCCAAGCATCGATTTTTGTATAACGTAGACATTAAAACATTTGCGAGAAAAAGTGTGTAGCATTCACAAGAGTTTCTTAACGGAAAACACGATTGGTAATACTAAGTAATAACATAAAGAGGATAATGCAGAAACTCGCTAAAGCGCTTTACTCGGTTTCTTTACATGCACCGTTGCAGTTATGAGACTACATCTTTCAAAAAAACAAATAATTCAATGCTTATACATGTATTTATATTCTTAACTCCATGCCTTGTTAATTCAATGCTACTTCAATGCTTAAAAACAACCTCATTAGTTTTTTAATCGAACATTTCACTGCTGATGGATTTTCGTTAGAAAGAATGAAAAAAGAATTGAGGGTCGTTTGACAGAAAAATTTCGTAATAGATAATTA